TTAAGTTCATTATTACTCCAAAGAATTTTGGTAGCATGCCTGTAGTCTCCATCTTAAATGCATGTAATATTTCCAGCTTTTGGCTAGTAAGATTGAGTTTAATATGTGTTTTGACAATAACTAAGTTCATCATCAAAGTGAACATTTTACCAAAGGACTTTTTAAAGATTATATCTCCTTTCTAGATGATGCCCCTCTCTGCCCAACATTTTGACAAGCAGTTATTTTGATATTTTAGTTTGAACTGGTTACTTCTCTTCACAGTCCTCCTCAACTATGTCATCGTTGCATGAGAAACAATGAATGAGATAAAGAAACACGTTCTTTTTCTTTATAGTTGAAATCAGAAGCTGGACTGTATCTGATCATCCTTAACACAGTCCTTTCATGAGTGTATTCACTATAATACTCTGTGTCCAGATGTTTAACAAAATAATAAATGCTCACTTACAACATTATCTCTGTACCTGCTTTTCTCTAGGGAAACCACGTCACGGTCTTGAACCTGTCTGCCTTCTTGTAAAGCCAACAAACTGAATGTGTTAAATGAAAAGCCAGATATCCATCTGAATATGCGGAAGAGGTTCTCATTAGCTCAAAGGTGTACAGTGCAACAAGAAAGCAGCATAGACTTTGCAAGACTTTATTTTTTAAGCCCACACACTGTAACAATTATGTGAACATCTGTCAATCATTTCAGTTGAGTACCTAACCTCTCTGATGTGGTACATTGGAGTAAAGAATGTAATGAGCAAGATCTGTAAAACATAATGCCACTACCAAAGTGTTTTTTTAGAAGACTGATGTAAATGTGACATCTCTATTATTTGTTTAAAATAAGTTGGAAATATATCACAATTTTTAAAAAAATACATTTTCTACAATATTCTCCAGGAGAATTCCTTGCCTTTTTTCTCAGCCCAAAACCATACATTCAGCAGTTTGTACAGTGGTCAGGGTTAAATTGGATGAGACATCAAAGGTTTTCAAACATGATCCTTTTTGGGGGTATTGTGTGAGAAGATGGCCTGAGAAATTCTACCCTGGGAACACAGAAGTCACCAGTAAGAGAGATTATAGTTCATAGACACTAAACTGATACATTGTAACTTCCCCCATAAATCATGTTTCATTGTGGCCTCTCATCCTGAGGCAAGGCTCAGCACCTTAGGACAGGGGAGGGCTTGTCTTCAACTTCTAGGCAGTGCAAAAAGGCTTGGCAATCAGGTGAGGTGGTGGGATTGGGGGCGTCACAGAGATTTGATAAATCTTTTTTTTCTGCTTCAGCACATCAAAGGCTAGGACTGAAAGACTCAACTCTGATGTTTTTCCTCTAGTGCAAAGAGGATGTGGAATGTTTTTAGTAAGTGAGGTGGAGGAGGGTAAGGAGAGATGTAAAAGACCTGAGACAGAGCCATAGAAAAAGACATCAGACAGCGGAAATCCTGAGAGTCACCAGTCTAGAGCCACCCTAGAGTCCTTCTAGCCACTGAGCCCAGAGGCTCACCATGGGGCGGCCTGGGGCAGGGTGAGATCACGCCTAGGCAGAGGCTGGGGCCGGCCACCAGGTTAGTGGCTGCGTGAGGGCTGGGAAGGCTCTGAGAGGCTGCAGCCCACAGGAGCTGAGAAGCAGCCTTTGCCAAGATGAGAGGCTCCGGAAGCTGCAGATTTCAACAAACTGCAACCACGAAGCATCAGGTGGACAAACGGCCTGGCTCCAGAGAGCAAAGGGCAGAGAGGGCCCCTTTCCCAAGAACGCCACCTCATCCCCTCCTCCACTAGGATGCATAAAGCTTCTTCCCAATATTTACTCCAAATGATTTTAGGGATGACGAAAGAGGAAGAGGAGGCCAGCCAAGAGACTGTCTAAATTTATTTAAATGAAATTTTGAAATCTTCTGAAAATGGCTACATATTTACATTATCAGCCCAATTGGATGTTTGAACACTTATTTAATTTTTACTTCCAGCTAACCAGTCTGAAGGGGCTTGGAATAATATTCAGATTAGTTAAAACCAAAATAACAAAATGTGTTTCTCTGCACATTTAAGTCATGAGTTCAATTTGCCATCTTGTTATAGCTTTTAAAAATAATCAAAGGGAAAAAAAAGACAAAAGTCCAGCTATCCTTAGTCATATTGAGAAAATGTACAGAACTATAAAGCCTAGAGCTACAGGGCATTTGAAGGCATTTGAAACCCCCATCCCCCACTTTGGTTCAGGAGTCACTGCTATTGTCTGCTTGGAAAATATTCTTTTCCACTCATTTTGCTGTAAAAATAAAACTGCTCTAAAAAATAAAGTCTGTTAAAAAAAAAAAAAAAAAACTCCTCTAGTCCCTTCTTAAATTTTTCTAGGGATGGAAATGGCCATCACTGAACAAAGCATAAAATATGTCTTTCTTCTTTTATGTTAAAATCTGATTTTTCTGTTTCTTTATCCATTGCCCTCCGGAACACCTTTAGGCAATCTCCCCCCCTCCCTTTTTTTTTCCTTCCATTATCTTTCCCCGGGATGTAAATCAGCAATTACTTAGCTCCCACAACAAAGTCTGAGATCATAAATGAGGGCAGACAGTAATTTAATCTGTGAGAGATTGAGATGTTATATAGTTCGTTTGGTGACAACAGCAAACCACAGACGGTGCAACCGAGGGCACTGTTTCCTATTCATACTGATTCAAAAGTTTTTTTTTCTCTCTCTCTAAGCTAACAGGCTTTTCTTTTTAAAAAAATAATTCAAGTATAACCTCAATCTTAGTAAAATTTCCAAAGGTAATCTGAAACCTTTCTTCTTAAAATCCAAGAGAAATATAAAGCAACCAAGCCAGTGTGTGTGTGTTTGTGTGTGTGTGTGTGTGTGTGTGTGTGTTTCCAAGCAATCCATTGAAACAGTCAAATGGCAAAGTCAGACAACATGCAACAACATAACACATCTGTTTATTTAGTTAATATTACAACGGTAACAGGTTAAGAGCACTAGATTTGTACCCTCTTACAAGAGTAACGATCAAGATTTTGATTTGTAAATTTCACTGTTCTTAACCATTGAAAATCTATTTTCCAAAGGAGTAATAATATATCATTATTAAGGGACAGATCTAAACTTTCTGATTTATGACCAAAAGCATATTTGTTCATTACTTTAAACAAAACATTAGGGACATTTTAACTCCTGGTTACTGCTTTCAGGAAAGTACAAGCTTCTTGAAGCAAATATACACAAAACATCTTTTTCCATAGTGATTTCAACCATTGTGTATCATGTCAGTGAAAGAACCTGAGAGTCCCAGAGTTAGTATCTCCCAATAGTTGTGATACACTCTGGCTTACTTAAATAATCAGCCAACGAGCATGTATTTAGTGCCTACTATGTACAAGCCAGCATACGAAAGCAGTTCAGGAAATACAAAGAAGTCAAATTATTGGTCCATGCCCTGCTCAGGCTTCCAATGTAGTTGGTAAGATTAAACAGAGACACAAATGACTCTACTTTAACGTCCTCAAAAGAAGTGACGATGGTAACTAGACTGTATGTTAGAACCATCTATGCTGGAACCTAGAGGAAGCACAGACATGAGCAGGGGCATCCTCAGCGCTGATTAAACACTGTCTGAATCAGATTTCTCACTTCCAGGTTTGAGGGCTGCTTGAACCCCTTTATCTGAAAAATCTGACAGTGTTCCAGCCAGTCTCGCACCTGTCACCGTCAGCGGCTGTATTTGGCAATCGTTTCATGGACTCATGACGAAAGGGCAAGATAAACAAATATGTATGATACGTGATACGATTTGAATATACTCAAATCATATGTACGGCGATGCTGAAAGCTAGGAGTTCAAGACTGTCCGCTCTGCATAGGAGGAGGCTAACTCACCTTATCATTTATTTATTGCAAGACAAGAAACTACACAAGAAAAGTATGAAGAACTCTCCAAACTTCACCGGACACAAGCAAAAATACATAGGCTAGAGGAAAGGATAAGAAAAGATGGCCCAGCAAAGAGGAGAGGTTTTGGGAGGGCGTTGGGGAGAGAGCTTCCCCCCACCGCCACCTCCATCCTCACCCCCAGTGTCCTGAAGAAAAGGCCCTGGGCTAGCCGGGTAGAGAAAAGGAAAGCAGAGACGCGTGTCCAAACACCGCAAATAAATAAATAAATATGGTAAACAAGAAAATAACTTATTAGGCACCGCTGGAAAGGCAGCGACCCTCAGGGGCCGGGCGGGCCGCACTCTAGCCTGCAGGCGGCGGCGACGCGGTCGGGATCAGCCAAGGATCCGAAGGCGCCACCCGAGTTCCCAGCCCCAGTGCCGGGTCTTCGAGATAAACCGGAGCAGGAAACCGACTCTGTGGTTACTCTTAGATCTGCACCCCAGAAGCTTGGGTGAGGGAGAAAGCCTAGTGTAGCTGCAGCCACGCTCCCAGGCGCCCTCGAGCAAGTGCCTGCCCTGCCTGGCCTCACGCGGACCAGCGTCCCGGGAGCGCCCCGCACTTGGTCTTTGAAACCAAAAGTGCCAGTTGCGAGCCCAGCGGGAGGGTGGCTTCCGTTACAACCGCTCCACACCCAAACCCCGGAGTCTTCTAAAAACCCCTCGGTGGCTTGTTCTCAGCTCCTTTATGCTCCAAAGGGAGATTTGGATGGGGACTGCAGAACGCCTGGGGTTCGAAGCGCGGGACCGATTTTTCTAAGCACCTGGCTCCGCTCTGGGTGCAGTGGGACTGGTGGAGGGGCTCGGGCAAGGGCGCTTCACGGAGCAGGAGAAAAGACCAGCTGCCTAGTTCATTCTCAAGTCCGACTTCCCTTAAAGCAGGGCTGCGCAAAAGGAGAGCCTGGTTCTCCGGACTCCGCTAGGGGCACTAGGCACAACCAGGCGAGGGGAGGGGCAGGAGAGGACGAGGCTAAGGGGGAGCTGGGGACTCACCCCGAGGGAAACCCGTGGCGGTAACTGTGGCTCAGCTTAAACAAACAGAAATTACGGCTGGGGGAGCTGAGGGTCAGGCTGAGTGGGCGACGTTAATGAGTTCATGATCCGCACCGGCAGGACCCGGCGGAAGGAAAGCTCGAAGTTGCAGAGTGGGGAGCATAGAGGGGTGCAGAAGTGCAAGAGCAGTAGAGGAAGGAGCGAAAGCAGGAGACGGAGGAGAAAGGGGCCCGCAAGCCTTCCCAGTGTATAAGCATAGCGCCCAATTCCACCTTTGTCGCCCGCCTTTCCCGGGTCTCTCCACCCAGGGCGCGCAGCGTCCTAGCCCCACTTTGCCTCATAACACCCTGACGCCCCGGATACTTTCATCTCTCGCACCCGGCCTCCCTTTCTCCTCATCTTCCCCCTCCCCTGGCACAGGGCCCCTGCGAAGCCAGCGCTCAGAGAGTCGTGATCCGGGATGTGCAGGTGCCATTACGGAAGACGCCTCCAGACTCCAGGTTCTCAGGCTGGAAGTCCTCCACGCTGTAGGCGCGACTCTTGAGGGCGGTGGCGTAGTAGTCGACCGGTTCCTCCACAGCGTTGTCCATCCAGCTGAGGCACAGGATGCGCTGGAAAGAGCGCTTGAAGTTGTCCGAAAGGAAACCATAGAGGATGGGGTTGGCGCAGCTGTTGGCGTAGCCAAGGATCACCGACAGCTGGCTCACCGTGGCGTCGTCCTGCTCTGCGAACACGTTGACCAGCTGCACGACATAGAAAGGCATCCAGCAGATGACAAACACCATCACCACCATCATCACCATCAGGGTGATCTTGCGCTCCGAGCGCTTGCGCTGCTGCCAGCCGGCCTTGAGGGCCACCATGCGCATTTTGGCGATGATGAGCACGTAGCACAGGCAGATGGCCCCAACGGGCAGCAGGAAGCCCATAAGAAACGTGTACAACACGAAGCCCACCAGCCAGCGCTGGGCGGGCTCCGGCATGAGCATGTTGCAGGCCACCGTGCCATCACTGTTGGCCGCCGTGCGCGAGAAGACCACGATGGGAAGGATGACGAGTAGCGAGAGCACCCACACGCCGAGATTCACCACCTTGGCCACGGTGGGCCGGCGGTAGCGCGCAGCCTTGATGGGGTGCACTACGGCCACGTAGCGGTCGACGCTGAGCACAGTCAGACAGTAGATGCTGGTGAACATGTTGACTGCGTCCACGCTGAGCACGAGGCGGCAGAGAAGCGCGCCGAAAGGCCAGTGTCGAAGCAACGTGGAGGTGACAAGGAAGGGCACGCTGAGCATGAGCAGCTCATCGGCGATGGCCAGGTTGAGGATGTAGATGTTGGTGGCCGTCTTCATCTTGGCATAGCGGAGGATCACGTAGATGACCATGGAGTTCCCACACAGTCCCACCAGGCACACCACGGAATAGATGAAAGAGATGAGGATGGCGCTGCCCTGGCCCTCGCTCAAGGTCCCGTTCTGGGACGCATTTCGCCCCGGTTCCTCCATGCTGTCCGCAGCTCCGGCCCCGGGGCCCCTGCTGCCGCCTCCTTCACCACAGCTGCCCGGGCTGAGGCTAGGAGAGGAGGGAGAGGAGGCGGTGCCATTGGGGAACATCTCAGCTGGTGGGGCCCGATGGGGCTGCCGAGGCTGGAGCGCTCTCTTCGCGCCCCTGCTGCTTGCGCCCTCACTTGGCACCCCGGCCGCCCTCTCGCAGCTCACAGCCGCCGCGCGCTTCGGGGGAGCGCGCGGCGGCTGCAGGGAGCGCGGCTCCGACCCGCGCCGGCGGGGCGCATCGCCCAGCGGCTGCCTGCGCCCAGCCGCTTGCCGCTCCGGGGCGCCTGGGCACACGCGAGCGTGGAGAGGGGAGGCCGGGAGGCTGGAGCCCCGCGCGGCACAGCCATTAACTAGCGCGGCCCTGGGCTGGTGAATGATTACTAGGCACCACCAGCGCGTCAGCAGCTACGAAAAGGGAGGAGGGGGGAGAAAAAGAGGGAGGAAGGCGATATAGGTGGCTTATTACCCCCCGCCCAGTGTTTTTCTTTCCTAGTCCTGCGCTAGGATCAACTAGAGCAGCTGCTTCCGGGGTTCCCCTGCAGCACCCTTTACCCACCCCTCAGGGGGACCTGGGGAGTTTCTCCGCCGTCCTGGAGAGTGGGAGGAGACCAGAGATCTGGATTCCGTCCCATCCCACCCGGCTCCAGTCCAAAGCCAAGACTGAAGTAGACCTCAGGCACTGATGTCTGGAGTTCATCTCAGGTTCCCTCAGTTGCTGCCCCGCCCTGAGGGACCCCAAGTCCCCTTCGGTTCCATCGTCCCAGGCCCTAAACCCCAGCCCCCGGCCCCGTTGGCCCTGCCCCTCAGACCCGCCGCGGAAGCTCCCGGCCCTCCTTACCCAGGGCGCGCTGCCTCCAGACCGCCGCGTAGATGGCGCGTGCAAAGTGCCGGTGCGGTCTGGTAGCGTGGTGACGTTCTTCGCGGGGTCACACTCCTTTCTTTGGGCCTGACCCCGGCACAGGCGCCCACACCGATACTCTTAGAGTCGCAGAAACTGGCCCCAAGCCGCGAGCGTTAGGAGGGGGAAGGACAACAACCGCGCATCAGGGGCTTCTGCGTTACAACGCCGCAGGCAGCCCTTCTCGGGCGGGAGCGTTCAGGGGCCTGAGTAAACCATCGCGAATCTCTATTAATGAAGCTTGTCGTGCCCAGAGCCCCCTGCGTCTCCCGGAGGAAGATCGACTGCAGAAAGGAGGACGCGCGACTGGGAGCGCGGAAGGAGCCCGAGGCTCCCTCCCGAACGTGCCGGGCGCGGTGTTGGAAATCCATCGAGGTGTTCGCTGGGGCAGATGCGGCTGCGCCGCTGGGACAGGCTCCGCCCGCGTCCCTGCCGTACTTTGTACCCGGGAGAGTTGGCGGGCCCGGGGGAGCGAGTGTAAAGGCCCGGCGAGCGGGGAGGCCCACTCCCCCAAATGCACGCTGGGCCGGCAGTGCTGCTGACCAGACCTGTCACCAACTCCAGGACCGGCAGGACAACCTTTGAGTCTTTCCGTGAAATACTGGTATTTCAGCCCTTTCTGAGGTCCCTGGACGAGTGACCCGGCGCTAGATCACGTTCCTAAACCTTTATGACACAGAAATCAATGTAGGCACACCTAAAGTTTGCTCACTTCATTTAGGAATTGAACGGTTTCTGTGTAAAAAAGAACAGATGTTCAATTACCATGATTTTTAACGACCTCCGGGGCTCCCCACCATCCCTAGTCTAGGCTTCCTTGGGCTTTCCAATTGTTCCAGTCCAAGGAAGAATCACTCCATCCAGCTCCCCTATTTCTTTCCGAGATCCTTCAAGTCTTTATCTGGAACGCGCGGGTTCCCAAGAAGACTACCCTGTAGCGACCAGAGCTGGGCCTCTTTCAAGCTGTAGCTTTGTCTCGTTTCTCGTTGGTTCCCGCTTCCTCCCAACCGAGCGGCGCCCACTGTGTTGTGCGTCTCAGCTTCTCTTCCCATGGCTCCAGTTTACCCTAAGGAGAGGCAAACATCAACAGAAGCTCAACTCCTCTTCCGGCCATTTGTACCAGACAGTCCAGAATGCAGAAATGGATGCAGAAACTGAAAAGAAAAAAACAAAACAGAAAACAAATTTCTATTGCCCCCTTGCTTTATCGGGGCACTTATTTGCATATATGTGTTTTAGTTCTCAAAACTAAGTGCTCCTGAAAGGAAAAGAATAACTTCTGTAGTGTGTTGATCACAGGAATCAGAGACTAAATAAATGATGACAGACTCTTATAGCAATGTGTGCAATGGACACTGAATTATTAATGAGAAATGTGCTAAGAAGGAAATTGAAATTTCATAAGGCCCAAGCTGTTTAACCCATTGCTTTATCTGAACAAGTTACTTCATCTATAGTGGGATGTGGAATTGGTGGTTAGTTGTATTTCATTTTCCTTAAACACAGCACGTGTGGAGACACAAAAAATGGATGTTCAACAACAACAACAAAAAGACTTTTTTCCTCAGAGAAGCTGTTTACTAGCCAAGCCTCATAGTGGTTCAGATGCCTCTTTGCCAGTCAAACACGTGGCTATTCCGCAGGGGGCTGACATTTCAACAGGCATCCTCTAGAGGGCTTGGCTGGATCATGGTCGCTCCAAGGGAGGGGGTGGCAGGAGCCTGTAAAGCCCAGCTCTGTTGTCCAGAATCTCATAAGTTCACCTTGCAGCCCATCTTAGGGAAATCTCCCAGTTTATTGGTAGCTTCATATACAAAAGAAGAAAACTTAAGATCTGACATGAGCATGCTTTTATTTTTTTTCTGAAGTGGTTTCTGTGATGGATTATTTATCCGTAAAAAGAGATTGACAATGAGATACCACTTTACACCCACTAGGGTGGCTATAATAATTTTTTCTCAAAGGAAAATAACAAGTGTCGGCGAGCATGTGGAGAAATTGGAACACTTATATGTTGCTGGTGGGAATAAAAAATGATGCAGCAGCTTTAGAATGTTTGGTGATTCCTCAAAAAGTTAAACATAAAATTGCCATATGACCCAGCAATTCCACTCCGAGCTGTTTACCCCCCAAAAGTGAAAACTGGTGTTCAGACAAAAACTTGTACATAAATGTTTATAGCAGCACTATTCCGAACAGCCAAAAAGTCGAACAAGCCAAATATCCACCAAATGAAGAATGGATAAACAAAATGTGATATATCCTCACAGTACATTATTCACCCATGAGAAAGAATGAAGTGTCAATACCTGCCACACCATAGATGAACCTGGAAAACGTTATGCAAAGTGAAAGAAGCCAGACGCGAAGGGCACATAGTGCACGATTCCATTTGTATGAAATGTCCAGAAGAAGCAAATCCATAGAGACAAAGCAGATTACAGGTTGGCAGGTGTTGAGGAGAGAGGGAATGGGGGATGACTGCCTAATGTGTATGGGGTTTCTTTTTTGGGTTATGAAAAATTTCTGGAATTAGACAATAGAGGTGGCTGCACAGCATTGTGAATGTACTAAAAGCCACTGAATTGAACATGTTAAAAATGGTTAAAATTTTAATTTTATGTCATGTAAATTTTACTTCAATAAAAAGAGAGATTAAGATGGATAGGAGCCATGCAGTTGTGTATATCTTAACGTGGTATCCATGATCTAATCCACGTACGAACAAAAACACTCAAGCAAAAGGCAGCATTTCTGGGCTAAACACTGGGATTGCTGCTGCTTTTAAATTACACGGAGAGCAGGAGCCCAGTGAGGAATCTGCCTTCCCCTCAGACCTCAGTTTAATGTAAACATTTCCTAATGAAACAGGAACACTAGTGTAGGTATGGGGTTGTTATAACGTGTAAAGGACAAGGCCTGTGAGGAGGCAGGACTCCACAATCTCCATGTCTTGTTTAAATACTCTTTTATTGTCTTTTTAAATTCATGTATCCAAAGGCTTGGAAAAGCTTAGGATAAGTTTACTAGTTCCATGACAGTTACTGGCCCTCAGGTCCTCCCTTCTTTGGTTACCATCTTTCTTATGCCCCTGTGATATGAACACATCTAGATATGAGAGAAGAAAAAAGATGGCTTCCAAGAAGGGCAGAATGAAAAGTCCTAATTTAGGAAGTTACAGATTCTTTTCTGCATCTTTTTTTTTTTTTTTTTGGTGAGGAAGATTAGTCCTAAGCTAACATCTGTGCCCATCTTCCTCTATTTTTGTATGTGGGACGCCTGCCACAGCATGGCTTGATGAGCAGTGCATGTAGGTCCAGGCCAGGAATCCAGGCCTGCAAACCCTGAGATCTTAACCACTATGCCACCAGGCTGGCCCCAGGAAGTTACAGATTCTTAAGCAGACTGATTTTCTTCCCCCAACTCAATTCCCTCCTACAAGCTCTACTCCCCTGTGCTGTCATGTACCAGGTGCACACTTTGATACCATATTTATCACACTGGGCTGTGACTTTTTATATACTTGTCGGTCCCCCCTCCTAAATCTGTAAGTTTGTTGAGAACAGGGGCTATATTTTATCTCCATATCCCCAGCACCCAGCACAGTACCTGGAAAATTGCCCAACACCTCCTTGTTTTATTTTTCCAAGGCATCCCACGGATAGTACCTTCTTTTTTTCTAACCCATAAGATGTGGATGCAAAGAAATGTACTTTGAGCCTCTTGCAAGAAAAGCTTTAACATCTGTGTCATATCATCATCTGTAATAATTTCTTACACATTTAAATCATTTCGAATAATTTCAATTTGCATGTCCTGCATCAACAATTATCATGCTGATCACTCATTCATTGATCATTCTCGGTCTTAGATTTCTTGGCAGAGAAAGGGCTCTGGAAAATGGGTAGTACATACGTTAGAAGCTAATGATGGTTATTTAAATAGTATCATGCAGTGTGAAAGCCATTATACGTGGAAGATCATTTATTTTTAATTGCAGTCCTGAGTCTCAGTTGTTTTGGTGGAATAGTAATTATTAGGAGCTCAAAGTCTGCTTCTGTCACAATTGTTCCTCGTGCAGTTTTTTAGTCAGAGCCTGTGGTGATCCTCCCATGAGCTCCTCTGCCCCAGGCCAGGGGTAAAGGGAACACTTCCTGGAACATACTCTGCACTCTCAACACCAGAGTTGTGTTTACAAACAGCTGTCTGGGCAGATGGGACCAAGCTGGCTGTAAGGGGTGAGCACCACTCAGCAATATGGCCAACAGCAGAGGTGTGTGTCACTTAAGGACCATCTGCCACTAAGCAGTTAAAATGGTGACAGTCTAATAAAAAAGTCACCAGAGTACAAAAGCGGCTATGGGCCTAAGGAACAATCCTGGACCTTATTTCCCGGGGATGCCCTGTCACCTCCCCCAGCCCCAGCAGCCCGCGGCTCACCATATCACAGATCTCAGCACTCGCCCACCCCGCTGCTATCGCCTCTCTATGCAACAG